TCAGGACATATGCAAACACAACAACAACAAAAAGGATACCTACATTGTCACAGACACGGGAGAGATCGGCTGCAAACCGACTCATATGGAGGCAGACAGTGACGGACAGACAGTCGCAGTTTGCAAGAGGCCAAGCGCAGCAAACTATATAAAGGGGAAAACCATTCTCAGCATAATAGTGTATCAAAAAGTATTATATTATCTGGAGTAAGTGGCAGAGACAGCTACCACCGCATTGGACGCAATAGTCATAGCAGACGATATTCACAAAACCAGCGGAACAACTCCATGGTCCCTGGGGACTGACAGTGCCTACTGCCTTCTAAAATTAAAAGTTTTAAAACCTAGTCGTCTATTTTCAATTCCAGTATTATTTAAAATATAAATATATGCCCATGAAGGTCATAGGACCACTGAAGACATGGAACGAAAGTTAAATGCATTGGAAATTAAATGCCGGAGAAATATGATGGATATCAAATGCAATGAATTCAAGAATGGTGATTAAATCAGATGAATGCCAGGACATGCTTTGGTATTGACAGTTATAAGACAAAGGAGGCAACCTTTTACTGAGTTCATTGACAGCAATTGTGAGCAGCGAATCACGAAACAAGAACTAAAATGGAAAACCAATGCGCTAAGGAAATGAACCCCCACAACCCTCTTCCCCCCCCCCCCTTTCTCCTTTTCCTTTTTGTAACTGACTCACAGAGCATGTTGAAAAAGGTGGAGATGAAGTGGCAAGCATTACTTTAAAGGTCCCGGGTAGTTATTATCCTTTGGATATTTTCTCCAGACTATGCCGGTGTGATGGGACAAGGGCAGACAAGTTCTGCACCTCTTGGTGGTGAATTGATGTATGACAAGCTAAACGTTGCGAGGCCCATCTGGGAGCGAGTGAATATTGTGAAGGCACGGATAAATTATTACTGTCTTAGGATAATGACACTAGGAGGAGTTACTAGAGAATCTGGCCGACGCTCAACACTTAAAAGAAAGACGAGACGGATATACAATCAGACGTTAATGGTGCCATCGGAACTGGAACTCTCCACTTGCTGCTGAAAATGGTGACGGAGCTCTTATGGCAGTGTCCCGTTTGCTATGATGTCGATTCTTCATTTAAACATTTCAAAGCGAAAGCATATAACGAACGTTGTCCAGAGAAGCCATAGGTGCTTGACTAGATTAAATCCATGATCTTTTAAAGATTGCACAGGATAAAATAGAATGGAGGACTAGACTGAAAGTGTTGTATGACCATAACGGCACAACAGGATGATGAGTACCGTTACAGCTGGATTCGAAAAGCTGCCTGCAAATGCTAACAACGCATTCAAACACAGATATTGGATAAATGTTGCACTATTGCTAAGGATAAAACACCTTGCAGCACTTTCTATGAACACAAACGTCTTTTGCCATTGAGCAAACAACAGGTCAAATGGCGAACCATATTCTCGCCGGACTAAATTATATTTTTGGATTCCCTAGATTCTTTAGAAGACCCAAAGGCTCGGGTGAAGCACCTTCCATTGGAAAGCCGGAATCAAGGGGTAACATTTTCTTTAACATAATCTCATAATTTTTAGGCGTTTTTAATGTCGAAGCTTGCAGCACTTGATCACCTTCAGTACAAGAAAAACCGTTGGTGTCCTTGGCAGTACTGTGTTGCCGATATCAACTTAGTTTATATGTGGCTGACTTTGCTTTATGTGGACAAGTATTTCGCATCAATTCAAAGATTATTTAGCACAAAGAAAAAAAAAAAACCAGGATGATGGGTTAAGAATTAATATGGATTTTTTACAAATTACGAAACGATTATCTCCACGATAAATTGGCGATGACAAATGTTTAGTCGGAAATACTTTGAATATATTCTTGCGGGCTAAAATCATATTTTTAGATTTCTGAGATCTTTTAGCAGGCCTACATGCTATGGAATTTTTTTTTTTTTTCCTTTCCAGTCAGTTAGTTCTCCGCTCTCTCCCCCTCCCCGATCATTATAACCTGTACTACATCTACGCGTGGGAGCCGCATAATATGGTGGCTAGACGCTCGCCTGCGAATTCGAAGGTCGTGGGGTTAAATCCGAATGGAACAGGACAAAAATGATTTAAGCTCCCAGGTCGACTCAGCTTTACAAAGTACCCGGTAAAGCCCTGGGATGTAAAGGCGGCTGGCCTGCTGTTGACCAACATTGTTTAGCTGAACGCCTTTTGGTCTTTTGCAAAAAATGTCCAGAACTATATACCCGTAACCTGAAATCATTTCAAAGCGTGGTAAAGGGTATATCTATGTGCATTTGCTGTTCCTATAATCTGTTTCTTCTTCTTCGTGTTCACCGGCTGTAAACTCCGTATTTGTATGCAGATTTTTTGGTTTCTTGAATCTCAGACAGACGTACTCTGAGTTCAAAGGAAACCTCCAGTTGACACTTACGACAAGCTTGTTTGGAAGGCAGTGGGTCTATTCTTGTTTTCCCCCACAATGAGGCCCTGGAACCTACACGGGGACCATTGTTGTAATGAATGGCGACCTGTTACTCTACGTCCACGTTTTTGTTTGATTTTCTTATCGATTGTTTCCTATGTTTTTATCCCATGGGGCTCAGTGTCTGTCTACAAAACAAAGCACGAACCGAGAGAGACTCTGCGTAGAACCATAATAAGGGAAGGCTCCACCATGGGTCTAATGAACATTCAAGACCTAAACCAGGTGGCAGCGAACTACTAGACATGGAGAGCTATGACCTCTGCTCTATGCGCCACCCGAGGCTCAAGAGGAAATACTAATTAACTAACTAAGGTCTGATATTTGATATCTAATCTGATATCACTATCTATGGCGTACTTCATTGAATAATGACTTGGTTACAGCCAGGTTTACCTTTACGTAAAATGTTACACCTCCCGTTTGCACACCTTGGTGATTTCTGAGCTATAAAACGGAGAGGGGACCCAGTACCTGTCGGGGTAGATCCTTGATAGTGGATGGGGGAAAAGTTATAAATACACCAACCTTGCTCCGATAGATGCAGTCCATTTTAGACTGTCCGCATTAAGAATTGGTCGGTTGCATTTGGAAACTATTGTCACCTAGTATATCTGAATTATGAAAATACATTCACAACTATTAAGCCACAGAAGTACAGCTTTAGCTGGTGACTCAAAGCAATTCTTTCTCTTAAAGAGTAGATACTAATCCTTTGGTTTGGCTTTCTCGATGTTTTCATTTACTGTGTGCTCTATCTAGGCATACACCCTTAGTGTGCAGATAAATACCATATGTTTATCATTTAAACTTATCTCAGTAAAAGCATGTTGTTCATCCATCACGAGTGATGAAGACCTCTTTCATCCAAAGTAGTAATGATCAATGATTATGAGTACGAAAGTGGCTGATTAGTCAAATATGAGCCAGGAAAGTTCTTGAGCAGTGCGGACAGCAGATGGAAGTTGCAGGAAGTGTGGGATTAGCAGTACGATTCTTTCTAGTCTGCCTCCGTTTCTCTGCCTGTGCAACCTCAGCTGTTTTGGCAGTCTGATGCATCATGCCTTAGGGACGTAAGCCTTCCAGAACGGTCTTGTGTAGCAGTCTCCCACGTCGCTGTGTTAATGCCAACAGAATTGAGAGCAGTCTTGAGAGTGTCATAGCGTTTTCTTCTGTCCTCACTGTGACCTCTTCCCTTGCTGGAGCTCGCCATAAGATACTGTCTTTGGGGGGCTATATTCTGGCATGCGGGTTAGATGACCAGCTCAACGCAGCTGATAAATCTTCAGTATCGTATGGATGCTAGGCAGGTTCGCCTAGTAAAAGCATACACAAGGGAGAAACAGGGAACAAGTCTAAGACACAGTTTAAACATTTTTCCCCACAATAAATATTTTTTATCTAGCTCATTGAAATGTTTCACAAAGTTAGGTTGCGGAACTATTGCCAGCGTGTGTGTGTGTGTTTTCACGCGCGCACGTGTGTATGTGTGTGTGTGCGCGCGCGTCTGTGTGTGTATGTGTGTGCATTTGTATGTGTGTTTATGTAAGGCTGTTATTTTACTAGGCAATTTCACATTCAGTAGATTGACAGTTCCTAAACGGTCGGTGCACTTGAGTATTGTCCAAATCAAATCAAAGTGGTCTGCTGTCGAATCGCCTGCAGCTGGAATCGAACCGGGTCATTTTTTTTTTTTTTTTTTTTGCTTGGAGCCTACTTTATAAAATGAAAGTGTCCCGACGAAAAGTGACCTATGATCACCCTAACCCTGGTACTTCAGAATCATGAAGCGTGTTAGCAATGCCTTAGCCGCAGGTACAGACTTATTGAAAGCAATATAAAATCGCACTCTGGAAAACTTGGTTTTACATATTCTCTGAAATGTACTATCATTGCATCATCATCATCATCATCATCATCGAGTGCATTGCCCGCTGGCGTAGGCGTTCATGCATCCGCACAGATCTCCGTCTTTGATGTTCTGTCTCATTTCCACTAATGATATTCCTCCACGCCACTGTCTTCAATCATACACCATCATTTCTCTCCGTCTGCCTCCGTCTCTTCTACCAGTGATCTATCCAGTCATCATGATATTTCTCAGTGCTCCTTTTCTCATCACATGACCAAAAAACTATGTTTGTCTCCTTTTCATTGTTGTATATAATGTTCTACTGTCGTTCGCCATTTCCCAGCAATCACCTTATTCATTCTGGCAGCCCAAGGTATTCGCAACATTTTTCTCAAGGACCACTTTCTCAAGGACCACATCTCAGCCGCCTCCAAACTCTTCTTAATTTGCTCACATTCCAAGATTCACTGCCATACAACAGAACAGGCTTGATATAACTTTTCAGTACTCGTTTTCTGATCTTTAATCAGAGTGATTTATTAAATAGGATGCTTTTCATCTTCTGAAATGCTGCCTTTGCGTTTCAAGTTCTGCTCTTAATTTTCTTAAATGTATACTTTTTTTTTAAACCGTAACGTTTTCCATTTAGGATGGGGAGATAATATCAATTGGCTGACTTTGGATCAAGCTTTCAAAAAAGCGAGAGAAGAAAATGTGCCCGTGATGGTGATCGTTCACAAAATGTCATGCGGCGCCTGCATCTACCAAAGAAGATGGTTTTCTCGCAGCAAAACCATTCAAGCTCTGAGCAAGAATTTAGCCATGGTCAATCTAGAGTACAACGAAGTACCCAAAAGCCCAGAGTTTACTCCCGATGGCTTTTATGTCCCGCGCATTTTGTTTTTCTCTCCGTATGGAAGACTGCTTCCCGATGTGAATGTCAAGTACAACCAACAGTATAAATTTAACTACCCTCAGGAGCATGATCTTGCAAGCAACATGAAATCTGTTATTGAAGAATTTCGTCAGCGCTGACAAATTTCAAAGTGCCTGATGAACTTTGCTGTTGTAAATGTGGTTAAAGTATCTGTAAATTTAGTCAGTATGGGAACGTGCTAGCACAGTATTACTGCGTAAATTGGCTAGTGGAAAATTTAAGAGGAATAGTTTTTTAATTGTGTAACGTATGCAAACAATTAAATTAGATGTCAGTAAACTGTAGTTTTCTTTTATTTAGAATATTGCATATAAAAAATATTATTTTAGCTTCTCGATTTTCAAAATTTTTAAACTTTCTATAAATGATGAGTCACTTCTATAAATTAAAATTTGATTCAGTGTGGCAATGAAATTATCCATGGGTGTAGCATAAATATAGAAAAAATAGTTTAGTGTTTCGCTTGTTTGTAAAATGAGTGTACATCAGAGGGTAAAGATGAATATTTAATTATGCTTATAAAATTACAGATAAAAAACATTGACTCCGATTTGATAAAACATTCTTTATGAGTGCACAATAAAACACAATCTCACTGTAATAAATTTTTTTTTAAACAAATTTTATTTTGAAAGTTAACTGTTTTTTGCTGTTTCTTAATTGTTCATTTTGAGGTTTATTTTTCTGTAATAGCATTCTTTAGTTTGAGATTCTAGACATTTAAAAACACGATTTAATGCAGATTGTTACCATCATGAAGAATATCCAATAAGTTGTCAATAAGAGAAAAAAAAGTTGATTATTACTATCAAACAAGACAGGCAAAATATCTTGTCACTTTAGGAGAAGTGCCAAATATAAGAATAACTACTGCCAAGCAGACATTGTAAACTGACTCGCACAAAATATTACTCTGAATGGGAAAACGCACCCAACAATAAAATGAATGTGTTGTAGTTATCAGAGTCAGCAACATGACACCGGCTACTGCGTTATGAAACACGGCATTTTCATTTATTGGTTGTTTACTTCCAATTCACTTGTGTCATATCATTACAGCACTCTATTCCTAATGTGATTATATCCTGACGGACATGCGTTGTGTGGTCAACCTATTCTGCGTGTGTATCCTTTACTGATACCACCAGGCTAGCTTGAATGTCCTCTTTTTAAACGGTTTTCTCTCAGATCATTGGAGTTACCATCAGTGTATGTCTTTTATCACTGGGGACTTCAATGTAAGCCTTGACTTGTGAAAGTGTCAGTTTAGACCAGTGGTTTTCAACCTTTCTAATGCAGCGACTCTTTGATGCAGTTCCTCATGTTGTGGAGACCCCCAAACATACAGTTATGTTCGTTGCTACTTCATAACTTAAGTGTAAATTTATTTCCTGATGGTCTTTGGCGACCCATTTGAAAGGGTAGTTCGACCCGCAGGAGGGTCGCGACCCACAGGTTGAGAACCGCTGGTTTAGACGTTATGAACATCAGTCTAATCAAATGCCTCATTGTTCGAATTTGGGTATTACAAGACCGAGGTCTCGTATGTATGTCAGACAGGCTGCAATCGTTAGGTTGATACAAATGCGAATAAAAATGAAGGCCTTGAGATGCAATGTCTAGTCGTTCCCATAGACCGCCACCACTTGATCATCTATAGTTATGCTTGCATGTGGACTGAATCCCTAATGAAGGTGCGTGGGAATTCCTTTTAAGTTTGAGACATGCATTTACTAATATAAATTCTCTCCTGTGTTACTGCTTTGCCATGTATGCAATTTGAGCTTTGTAACCCACGAGGGACTGGTAAGCTTACTGTTAATTTAATGGACTATTTTGCCTGGCGCGCTAGCTTAGTTGGTTAAAACAGCAGCGTGGCCAATGGGGGACTAACTCCTTGTGGTCCGAGTTCCCGTTCGGGGCTGGGTAGAAAAGCCACAAATTTCCCAGATTTACGGTAACAATCGTGGAATCAAAGCCGAAGGGCTTTGATATTTATAGTACCGAGCCAAACAGTTTACAACTCTAGATTTCTGGATCAACAACAACAAAACAGGACTATTGTCACATCTTGAGGTCTAGTGGATATATGGGGTTAGCATTAACGTTTCAGGATACCCCAACCTGAGACCCCAGGTCAGTTTTAAATAAATTGTTCACTATACTATTGTCCGCTTGACTAAATTCAGAAAAAAAGAATACAGATCGAATACAGACAGATCTGATACCCATATGAGAACCACATATTTCTGAGCTAGCATTTTGAATGCTAATTCTGGCCATGGAAAACGAGGATAAAATGGCATGGCAAATATCTTTTTCTTTAATGCGTAGATTACGAAGAGGACTACCCCTGTGTGGGTTCCGGGGCCCCATTGCGGGGAAAACAAGAATAGACCCACTTCTTCTTCTTCTTCTTCACTTCCTCTTTTACCGCTGTGGGTGTCGAGGGAGATATAAGGTTCTGTTTCTAGCTCTTCTGGCTGCCTCGACCATAGGCACATCGTGCTGTTGTAGAGTTTATGTGATGTTATCCTTCCATCTTGTTCTTAGTCTACCCCGTGCTCTACGTCCTTCTTCTCTTTCCATGTATACTGCCTACCCAGAAGCATGTCGTAAGAGTCGACTAATTGGGGAGCTTCCTTTGAAGTCGGAGTGCATCTGCCGTAGAGGCAAGGAACCAACAGTATGTATTCAAGAGAATGAGATCTGTAAAACTGATGCACACGCAACACTCAGGTTCTGGAGCAGGACTGCAGTTCAGTAGTGGACGAGCAATCAGAACTTTCCGCCAGAGTGTACAGCTGGTGAACGCGAAGAAGAAGAGGACTAAAATATTCAAGATAATCAAGAGGAAAATTTTTTATTGCTGGATAATAGTATAAATAGATTGTTATCAGCATCGCAGTTTAGGTCAGTAAATACAAATTGCTGGTGTTGTCTATTTTCTTATACAGATTTGAGAGTTGCACTCTCACTGTGGACATGAAAAAGAGGATTCAGGCTTTCGAATGTAAATGCTATAGCTGCATTTTACTAATTAGTTTATTTAAAAAAAAAAAACTAATAAATATGTCAGATACAAAACAATAAAAATGGCAGAGACAAAATATACAAATTTGCAGGACATGAGGAGCCTCCCTTACACTTATTCCTCATGCGGAAGATAGAGAAATATGGCGGGTTTGTGTGTGCTAGTGCTTCCATCGATACACCTCCACGACCCTGACTGGTCAAGGATTATGTTATGTTATGTTTACCAAAACCCACGGAACAAACAATATCAAAACAGAGACCAGGTGAAATAGAGATTAGACAATTGATACGACAAGTAATAAGTAACTGATCGAAAACATACAAATGATTCTAACCATGTTTGCCCAGTCAGTGGAAAAAGACGATTTACTGCAGTTTTAAATTTGATAAAGTTTTTGCTCTTCCGAAACAAACAAAATATGGGGTAGGGCAAATTATCATCATCATCATCAGGTGCCTTGCTGACTGGCGTGGGCGATCATGCCTCTCCATTATCTGCGATCTCCTGCAGCATGTATCAGTTCGTGTGCCGACATACCTCCATGCCATGCAACAAGACTGTCAATCATCTTCTCTCGTTGTCTTCCTCTATCACTGCTTCCACAGATCTTTCCAGTGGTCACAACATGTTCTATTTTTCCTCTTCTCATAACATGGCCGAAAAATGATGACTGTCTCCTTCTGATGTCTGTGATAAGTTGTCTTCGGGCTCCCGTCTCTTTCAAAACTTCTTGGTTGCTCTTTTTGGCTGTCCAAGGTATTCTAAGCATTCTTCTGTAAAACTACATCTCTGAGGCCTCTAAAAATTGTTTGGCCAGCCTACCGATTGTCCAGGATTCACATCCATATGTTAAAAATGGATGTATGGAGCAAGAAAGAATTCTTTTTCTAACTCTTAATGACAAGGATGTATTGCACATGATGTTTTGTTTTTCATTTTATAAAATTCAGTTTTTGCCTGTTCAATTCTGTTTTTTATTTCAGTTATGCATCTTCCATCTGATGTTATCCATGTGCCCAGATACTTAAATTTCTGTACTTGTCCTAAAATAACACCATTGACTTTTATTACACATTTAGGAATAATTTGTTTCTTTGATACCACCATTACTTCTGTCTTCTCATTATTCAAACTGAGGCCCATTCTTCCACTTTCTAACACCACAATGTCTATCATTTCCTGTAGTTCTTTCTGACTTGTTGCTATCAAGACTGTGTCATCAGCATAACGTAAATTGTTTATATTGTGCTCACCAACCACAATTCCGGGCATATCAATTAAAGATCTCTTTATATATTCACTGTATATTGAAAACAAATCAGGTGAAAGTACACATCCTTGTCGTACACCCCTCTTTATGCTTGTACCTAAATGAAATGTACCTAAACAGTTGTTAATTCTTATAGCTGCTGTTTGCTGCCAATACATTTTCTTTATTATTCGTAGATCTTTCCCATCAATGTTTAATTTTTCTAACAGTTTGATTACTTCTTCATGCTTCACACAGTCAAATGCTTTTGTATAGTCTACGAAGCATAAGTACAAATCAGTCTTTACTTCTATAGCTCTTTCTGACAATGTCCTTAAGATGTATATGGCATTGTTTGTACCTTTTCCTTCTACAAATCCACATTGTTCATCGCTGATTTCTGGTTTAATTTTGTTTTTTATTCTTCTCATAATTATTCTCAGTAAAATCTTAGTCATGTGACTCATAAGACTTATTGTGCGATGGTCTTCACATTTTCTTTGGTTTCTTTGTCAGAGCTATAAATATGGATTTTAAAAGGTCATTTGGAATATGCCCACTATTATAAATATCATTTAAAAGTTTAGTTAATATTTCAATTCCAAAATCTCCCAGTCCTTCGATTTCTTCCAGTGAGATGTTGTCGAGCCCGGGTGCTTTTCCTTTCTTCATATGATGTATTGCATCCTCTACTTCTGCTCTCATTATTGGTGGACCATCATTGTTGGTCTGCAGTTCTACGTCTGGTCTATTATCATCATACAATTCCCCTATATACTCTGTCCATCTGTGAATTATATTTTTATGTCCCA